GATTTCGAAATGTACACCATTCACCATTTCCCTTTTTCCAAGTCCTGTAAAAAAAAAAAAAAAACAGGATAATTCAATCAATAATATTAAAACTTGAATAAAGAATGTGATGTTAAACACACATAAGCTTTAATTACTCGTATCATCTTTTCCCTATAAAATGCTCAAATTTTACTTGACATTTGTTGATAACCAGAAGTCTCTGATGAGATTGTAGCTCTACTAGTTTGTACAAAGGAAGAGAAAAGTAGAACTTGCACTAGAAACTATGCAACAGCAATAAATAAAATAATTGGTTTAGTCTCTTTGTGGCAAGATTTATTGCAATCTATTTTTAGTAACCATGGCAAGACCCTTCATGAAAATCAAAAGCCGATACACAGAAATATGTATCTCAGTATAGCCTACTTGTGTGCCAAGTTATGTTGAAATCAGACCAAAACTGTAGGAAGAGTAGCATTTTAAAAGATTTCACTGAAATTTATATTTTTTAATAGTAACCATGGCAACACTGTTCATCAAAATCAAAAACCAATGCAAAGAATTAAGTATCTTGGTGTACAGTGGTGTAGCCTACTTGTGTGCCAAGTTATATTGAAATCAGACCAAAACTGTAGAATTAGTAGTCTTTTGAAAGAATTACACTTAAATTTCTATTTTTAGTAACCATGGCAACATCGTTCACTGAAATCAAAAAAACCGATGCACAGAATTACGTATCTTAGTGTAGACTACTTGTAGGCCAAGTTATATTGTAATCAGACCAAAACTGTAGGAGGTGTAGCGTTTTGAAAATTTGTTTATAGTCGACAGACGGACTGACAGGCTCCTCTGGTCTGACTGACCAGTAGTGCTAAAAATGTTCCGTCTCTAAAAATGTGTTTGAAGGCTCTGGTCGACTGCAAAAAAGTTTGTAATACAAACCTGGGAGTAATCAGTTGTATATTTGACTGGGTCTCTGATCAACCAAAGGACGTTGTAATGCAAACTACAAGAAAAAAAATGTTTGTAGTGATTTTTTTTTTTTTACCTCAACTTCATACAATTGATCAATTATGTCAGTCATTTTTTCAAAACAAAAAAAAGAAAAAAAGAAAACTTACATTGTCCTTATTTCTTAATGTGCGTCCAGATCGATGATTGTCTGAAATAAACAGACATGAATATTACTCAATACTCTTCTGTCTCTCCATTACAATAAAATTGTCATGCACTTATAAACAAATTTCTGATCAAGACTTAATGTTTGTCTGCAATCAATAGCACTTTTCAGTAAGACAATTGAACAAACACTCAAGCAGCCTTTTCCAAGTCAAAATTTGAGAGAAATCACTTTTAAACATTTCATAAAGATCATTTTTCTACAATCACTATTTTAAAAAAAAATTATAATTATTCAATTAATTCACATGCTCTTTGGGGATATATATATTTTCAACTGAACTTTGACTTAAATTTAAAAGTCTAATCATATATTATCATGTCTACGAAACAGTTAATGCTGTTGGTATGTTCTGTGAAATGTACCGGTAATGTTAGGAAAGTCAACATTTTTTCTTCAGAAACATCTATCACAAAAATGTCTTGCTGTGAGTTACTTTAATTTGGAATAAATGATATGTAATTAATGCTAAATTTAATGTGACAGCGATATAAATTGCTAGCCTCTACTTGTATGGAAATTTTGTACCTTGTAGGTGGTGCAAGACAGGATAGATACGTGGGTAGCTGGGTGGTATACCATTGTGTAGAGTAGGTCTTATCTATTAGAAACATTGGACTGAAATTAGTTTAAAACATAAACATTCTTCAAATAGTATCTAAATGTATGCCTGGGCCAGTCTCCTCTCAAGAATTTTATCATCAATGGATGAATGTACTTAGTTTGAATACTAAATATGAACGAAAGTCATTCTGTTTTATTAAGTTCAGTATTCAATGTCAGTGTTAAAGTAAGGCAAAGACAATCAGTCTCCCTTCATGCACATTTGTACACGGTGGTCCAATTTTGTTTTACTTTCATGAACTGAAATCCACCTAAAAATTGAATAGATACTTCATAGATTAAGAGAAACTTGCATTGATAATACAGCAGAGAAGGACTCTCTTATGGACTTGCAATGTTAAAGTCGTATATGGTACTGTTCAGTAGACATCACCAAAATTTTTTCTGAATGATTGTGAAGCCATCTTAAATTTGTACCAAGCTGGATAATATTAAAAAGTACTGTGTGATGATCTCAATTGAATGCAGACGTACTTGCAAAATTTACATTTTTTGACAACAATGAAACATTTAAGGTCATTGTACAAGTGCAACCAATATCATAGGGGAAAATATGATATTTACCTGTGCATGAGGTGGTCTAATGGGTCCTATACGTTGTTGAAAGGCCACCTGCAGAAAATCAAAATATTTAAAATAAGTTGTTGAAAGGCCACTTGCAGAAATACAAAATATCTAAATATTTGTAAATGACTTTATTTTGGTGGTTGGGGGATGGATGACACCCCCCCCCCCCCCCCCCAGTTATGCCCTAAGCCATCATTGCAATTATATGATCACTGATCAAAATAAAAACATACATGTATGTAGTGCAAAAGTTAACATAACATGAGGGGCTGAATATATTTTTGAATGTTCTTGATTTTACAAGAATTGCATAATACTTCAACATCACTGTCCAATGAACTTGACCTTTGACAAATGACCTTGAGTCAAGTTCATAATACACTTTCTGATCATCAGCACAAACACAATGTGAGGGATTATTCAATGTGAGTATCTGAAAAGAGGGCATGGGATTTTGGACCTCCAAACATCCCCCTTCTTCAAGGGTGTAGAGTAAAGCCCTGAAGGGGGCAGCCTCTACAAGGTCGTGGAATTTTAGACATTTACAAGGTGCATCTTTTTAAAATCCCATCATTGTTATTTCATATTTAATGCATTTTAATCTAGAATTCCAGATAAGATGCATCTTGTAACACCTCTTGTTCATCAGTAACAACATACTCAAGTTAAATTCATTTCAAGTAAGGGTTCCAAAGTTAAGGTTAAGACACAACTTCAACGTCTCATTCTCCATAGACCTTGACCTAAGACATGACCTGAGTTAAGATCAAAACTTACCTGTGGGTCAACAGCAACAACATTAGTTGCAAAATTGGAGGCAACTAGTCACCGTCTCACCATGTCATTGTCCTTGACCTTGAACTTTGATATATGACCTTGAATTAAGACTACATCTCACCATTATGTTATGGATGTCAACATACTCAAGTTGCAAATTCATTTCAATCAAAGCCCTGACATGATTTTCTTACATGCAGCTAAGACAGACAGACAACCATGCCAAAATCATCAGGTCTCCTACTGTTAGGGAGACATACATGTAATTCTATATAGCAATAGCTTTAGAAAATGATTTTTAAATTGCTAATTTAAATGTTAGAAATGTTCCAGCATGCTTACTTATATGGTGAAATACATTTTAAGTTGAAAAGAAGTATTTTCTATTTTTTAGAGAATCTCTGCACTTTTTTCCCACATTGACTTACCCTATCTCTGTTTGCAGGATTCCTATACTGTGGGCTAATAGTGTAGTTCTGAATTCTTTCCCTATAAAACAATGCTGCATGTCAGGTACAATCATAATGAATTTTAAAATATAAACATCTCTTGTAATCATGATAGTCATAGCAAAGTCTGTTGTTAACCATCAAGTACACATTAAATGTGCATGCATTATTAATAGCTGTGATAGTCCTCTTCTCATTTATTCAGATTATGAACTGGAGTTTCTGGTTACAAGAAAGAGAAATCCCCCACCTTTGTATTTTCCAGTGATGCCACTTCCTGCAGAGGAGTACACCAAGAACAATAATTAAGGTACTAAAAAGGACCCCCAGGGGTACTGCTACCCCTACCCCCACGAGTATCTGTTTGTCCTCTGTGATTATTCTGAGAGTGCTTGAAACTGCAGCAACTGTGAATAAGAAATTCTTTGTTATTTTCCAGTTAAGAACACTGTACAATGTACTATGCAAGTGTAAAGATTAAAACTTGTAACAGTTTAGAATTCACAATATTCTGATACCTGTTGATGTTCTGGTTGTTGTGGACACAGTTGTTGTTGGGGAAATTACAGTCGTACTTCCACTACAATGAAATGAATGAGGAGAGTCAATAATGATGTTACAGTTTGCTTTGTTTTGAATATTAAGCCAAAGAACCACAGAAACAAAAGATTAATGCTTAGTTTTGTTTAATCTAAATTGAAGTATTCATGATCCAATAAAGGCAATATTTTACTTTTTTTATTACTTACATCACACATATCCACCAGCTCTGAGAATCAGTTATACAGGTGGCATTTTCTGAGCAAGTCTTGCATACCACTGGAACTGTGAAGCAAAATAAATGTAAGGGTCATTTTTTGGTTCAACTTGTCAAAAGATATGTTGTAGGTTATAATTAGGGATGGCAATCGAATAGAGAATTGCCAATCGGTTAACCGCAAGACGTTTCGACCGAATAGTCGGTTAATCGTATCAAAAAATTTCGACATATCCTCCATTGTAAGCACTGCTTTACTCTAATAAACAAGACTATACAGATGTGGTACTATAATATTATGCTTATATTTGATCAGAACACTATATTTTATTTCAATTTTAATAGGCAAAAAAAAAATTAATCAATTAATAAATAAATAAAAATTTAAAAAAAAAAAAGAAAGTAAAGAAAAAAATAGATACTCATGAAATATGTCTAAAGTATCATAAACATTTGTGGAAAAAAAAAAATCAGAAGTCGTCACTGTAATCAAAACTAAGTATGTACTTTCGCTTGTTTAATAGGTAACTATAAAGGATAGTAGAGGTTAGGTACACATTAAATTCAGTTCACCGTACTCAACGATCATTTAATTAAAATCATTAAAGACACACAAGTCAGACTGGGTAATGACATGGTGTTTAAACAGCAATTAACAACTGACCAATTACCCCCGCACTGTCAAATCGGAGAGCCTTAAGTATCTAGCTTGTTAATATGGATGAAAATGCTAACATTTTAGATATTTTGATTGAATTTTCAGAATATTGTGTTCAAATTTACGCATATATTAATTTTTTCCGACTAACCGATTACAGATTTTCTAACCGATTACCATCGTTCCGACCGAGTAACCAGTTAACCGATTACAAATTGCCATCCCTAGTTATAATGTGTATTGTACTACATCAGTACCATGGAAAAAAATTCAGAACATCAGAATTTTTTAGAATTTTTTTGTTTAATAGTTAATATAAGTGTTATTCTTTGTTTCTGAAAAACTCCATAATTTTTTTTTTAAGTCAACAGAGGTATACTATGGTATCTAATGAAGAAGACAACAACAATTATGTACCCTATGCAGTATGTTCTACACAAACATCAGAAAACTAACCTTCTTGTGTTCCATCAAAGATGTCTGTATTCTTTAACAAAGGGATGCATTTACCACCAAGAGTTATGCACCCTACAGTGTCTATTCTCTCATTGACTCTTCTAGCAATCAAGGTCACAAAATCTGGGTCAGTTAAAGTTTTCAGGAAGATTGTCACATGTAATTTTGTTCCAGTGGATAAAGCACTGAAATATCAAAAGTTGATCATCATATTGTTACAAATTAACTCACAGCTGATCATGCAGTTTTTTAAAGGGAGAACTTTTTTCTGTTGGAGGATTTTAAAAAAATTTTCTGATTATCTCCCCCTTTTCTACAGTCTAGAAAGATCTATTTGAAGGTCACAAGGTCTACAAGTCCAGCACATAATGAATGGTGTATTAACATGCTATTAATTAACATGCTAAATATTAAAGACTTGCCTCTTGCAGTTAAGAAGTTTTGGGAAATATTTTTTCGTAATAGGTCAAAGGTCAAATTTAGTCAAGGTCATAAGGTTCATGGCCTAATTCCATATGACAGATCTATTATCAAACAATATACATATACAATGCATGTTCAGAAACAGTTTATAGAAATCAATTAACATGCTAAATGTCACCTCTCTTTCAGTAATTTTCAAAATATTTTTTTTGTTTTGCCAGGCAGTGCATATGCTAAGCTTCAACTAATGTTAAAAAGATCAATTGTATATCTATGATATGAAATATATTTAAAAAGTAATTTAAAAGTCAAGTTTAAAAGGTATCTCTTATCTTGGTATTCAAAAAAAAATTAAAGAAAAAAAATAAGAATTCAGTATCAAGGCTATAATAAAAAAAATTCCTAGATTCTCACCAGAATTTTTTGAAAAATCGAGGCGGGTGGGCAGATTTTATTTTATATTTGTTATTTTTTCCAATGTGCAGATTTTGTGTTGACCTGATCATTCGGTGCAGGTTTATCTATAATGCTCATATAAAAGTCATAGTAGAGGTCCATTTAAATATGCATATTTCTTACTACTCATCATCACCAGTCTTTCACAACCAGTGATCATTGTTTTTAATACATATTACAGTAATAACCATCTTGTCAGCTGTCAAATTCATGCCAACTTTCGCGGGATTTAAAACAAAAGTTGAATGGTAGTTGAATACTGATCCCGATCAGAATCAACACGAAGTAAAACGGAAATTAAAAAATCAAGGCAGGGGTAAAAAATCGGGGCAGGTGGGGATGAGAAACTAGGAATTTTTTTATTATGGCAAAATTCTTGAATCACTTACGATATTGTTGATAACTGGATTCTGTCTACCACTGGAAGGTTCAATATTCCATTAAGCTAGAAAAGAGTATAACTTACTATGATTTATAGTTCAAGAAAACTGCACTTCATTCAACAAGTACCTTTATCAGGTAAAAGGAAATTGACACATTCTTACTGCATACTGTACTAGTTTGGTGCTGACATGAAAGCAGTAATTTTATACTTACAGTTGAAATAACAGAGTTCTCGAACACAGCATACTTTATATCAACTCTATCTGCCATAAATGGTTCATAACTCAGAGCCAATGTTATTTTCAGAGGAACTGCATTTGTTGTGCTTACTAAATAAAATTGAAAAGTTAAGAATGAGCCATTATAATAATAGATATGTACAATCGATATAAATATTTTGTACATTAAATTATGAATAATGCTTTTTCATCAGAGGAATAATTTTTCAAAGACAATTATCACTGATACATCAATTCAGATTAAGTAAGTGTAACGTACCTGAAATTGGTCTGTAAAAGAAATAAAAACAAGAATTTTCATACAGTCATGCTATTAATAGTATAATATTGAGACTCTAACTTCATGTACTGGTCACAGACCAGAAGATCTTAACCATTGATAGAGTCAGAGACTGTCATGGATATAAAGGCATATTCACATATTAATTTGAATGAAAGACTTTTTCTTGTAAGGCAAAATATTTTACCCTTCATACATATCATTGTTCAAAAAATACAGTTGAACTTCGTTATCTTGAACATGGATATCTCAAATACCATGGATATGTCTAAGTGACTGGGAAGTCCTTAATTACCACGCATTTCTTAAGTATTTTATCCTAGATATCTCGAACCCTCGGATATCTCGAAGTTTTTTCTCTGTCTCATCGAGTTCGAAATAATGAGGTTTGACTGTATACCATTTAAATGACAAGTGGCCCAAGGCAAACAATGCTCACCTGAGTAACCAAATAGACATACACAAATAAAACCCCTTGCTTATATAATGACTTCAGCAAATTTAATTCAAAGTATATGTGGAAAGCTTAATGACAACTCACAGATATTTCTTACATGTGAATAAAATAGCTGGTTTACGGTATGAGCCCTAAGGCTTCTCTACACATTTACAGCCTTACAAGCTTGCATGGACAAATGAACAGAAGAAAGGGCAATTTCTTTATATAGCCTCATTGGGAGATATACTGGTAACAATAAACCCCAGACTAAATTGTTATTAGGTTATTGCACAAAAATTAAAATTCAATTTTAAGTAACAGTTTGTCACAATGGAGTCAAAACCAATTGTAGCTACTTTTCCATCAGAACAATGTATAAATTAGATGGTCAAATGATATTGCTAGTTATAACCACCTCATTCTAATTCTTCAGAAGTAAATTATCTGGGAAATTTATAGAAAACAAACAGATGAATGACCAACTTTCATCACAAAAGCTCACTTGTGCATTTAGAGAAATGTTTACCTGCAAACATAGTTGTAATTCACCTGGATATGACACTTTTCAGTGGATAGACAAAATAAACAAGGGGCGGGTTCTGCAAAAATAATATTGGTATGTATAAATGAAACCAAAATTTAATCATCATAATGAATTGAGGTTTTGTTCACCCTGCAATATTCCCCGCTAAAGATGAACATAGCAAAACTGTTAGTTGTAAGTACCATTTGTAACTGTTGTTAGATAGAATCTTTAACCAAGTATATGCCCACTTAATATAATATGAGTTATTGTGTGAACTTTGTAAAGATTCTAGTCAAGTTCAACCAACACTTACTATAAGGTACTGATGTAACTGGGTTTTCTAGTACAGCATATTTTGTTCCCTGTAACTGTACTCCTGTTTGGTAAATGTTCTGTAGAACTGTACTCAACTGTGCTTCCAACTCCACTGTGACATTTGTGTTAAACTTCACTTGTATGTCAAACACAGTACTGCTCTCACTGTAAATGCAGTAAAAAGATGATTCATTTACCGCTATACTATTATATCTGAATGATGCTTAATTCATACAAGTCAAAACACAGCAATGAACCAATGTCATACCAACTTACCTTATTCTAAAAATCTTGACAGACTTCAAATTCTGCATGTTTACAAAAAAGGACTGTGTCTACATAAAGAATAATATGAAATTTTAATGTCCTATCCCTTTTGTCATGTCAAGTCACATCAGGGTCTGTGAAACTTAAAACCAAAATAAGATACATGTATAACATGTACATACCTCAGTTTCCATGTCCTCCTTAAGATTTTTGTAGATCAGTGAAGAAGGGTTATAGTAGTCAGATTGGAAATAGATATTTGTCTTCATCTGTACATTTACTGTTGAATTAACATCTGAAAACAGCAAACTTTATAAATATTTATCATTTATTTTTCTCCACATGTATTAAAACAAAGACCATGAAATTTCTGTTTTGGCTAAGTTATAAGCTCCAAGTATGAATATTATACCTACATGAACAAGTTGTCCTGTCCATGTTTAGTGAATACCTACATGAACTAATTGTCCTGTCAGTGTTAAGTGAATACGTAGTACATGAACAAGTTGTCCTGTCCATGCTTAGTGAATACCTACATAAACAAGTTAGTGAAAACCTACATGAGTAAGTTGTCCTGTTAGTGTTTAGTGAATACCTACATGAACAAGTCATTCTGTCAGTGTTTAGTAAATACCTACAAGAACAAGTTGTCCTGTCAGTGTTTAGTGAATACCAACATGAACAAGTTGTCCTGTCAGTGTTTAGTGAATACCTACATGAACAAGTCGTCCTGTCAGGGTCTAGTGTATACCTACATGAACAAGTTGTCCTGTCAGTGTTAAGTGAATACCTACATGAACAAGATGTCCTGTCAGTGATTAGTGTATACCTACATGAACAAGTTGTCCTGTCAGTGTTTAGTGTATACCTACATGAACAAGTTGTCCTGTCAGTGTTTAGTGTATACCTACATGAACAAGTTGTCCTGTCAGTGTTTAGTGTATACCTACATGAACAAGTTGTCCTATCAGTGTTTAGTGTATACCTACATGAACAAGTTGTCCTGTCAGTGTTCAGTGTATAGCCGTTAGGACAGAAACAGAAAGCTAGTCCTCCCTCCACTCTACATCCATATTGACAGGAATCACCCGTGGCAACACAGGGGGAGGTAGACAAATCTGCAAACAATTCGTTTGTTAAGAAAATTCAATATATTGGTGATATGCCATCAAAAAGCACTACACTGATAAGAAATCTTTCAGGAATATTCCATATAATAATACATTAATATAACCTTAAACCGAAAATTCTTAAAATGTGTTCACATGTGCTTACTAAATCAACCTTTCTTGACTTCAAGTTCTCAGCTGGGTGAATGAATTACTAACTGAATTGAACCATTAATACTGAGGCTTCAACTTCCCCGATATGTCAAAAAATTACGAGAGAGAGAGAGATTACCTTTAATACACTGATTGGAACCAGTCAGATAGAATCCTTCATAACAGAAGCAGTAGTACCCTCCTATTGTGTTAAGACACTGTTGTTGACAGTCTGATGTCTCTAGTGTACACTCATCAACATCTACAATCAAAGGTTACATGTAATTGTCTTCCAAATATATGGACTGTAATCAGTATTAAAGGTTCAAATATAGTGTTAAATTTCCAGTTCATTTTTTTTTCAACCTAAGAGATAAAAAAGTAAAGTTATGCAGATTAAAACTACATTCAAAAACAATGCCAATTAAGGTGGAATGACTCTCTGATAACTAAAGACAGATAACATCCCCAATAATCCTGAAATGTCCAACAGTTTATCTTAACAGAATTTAATAATGGAGACCATTCTATAGTAATTTCAATCAAAACCACTTTAAGATGCAAGCAATGACCCCCCCCCCCCCCCCCCCCCTAATTTTTGATATTTTATTAATAACATTCGACTTTAACCATTTTCACGTTTTTTTAACTGTTACAAATTGAAATATTTCCACCTCTTAATAAACAATTTAAAAAGTGCAGTAATTTATCATGTACCAGTTATAGAATTTTAATTTTTTAGGATTTTCTTTCCAAAAAAGATATTTTAAAGAAAGATAACCGTTGTTGATAGATGCATCTTTTAAAGCACATGCAGATAACAATGTGATATTCTGATATATGGGGAAGTGCTTCTTTATTATATATTCTGATATGAATTTAATATGTATGACACTAAATATTATTTTCATAATATTATATACCTCATATTTTTACTTTAAGTTGTGATAATAAATCATTGCTCTTTTTATTCACTGTGTCAAATTTTTTTCGTATCATGATTAAATATAAAAATCATTTTTGAAAAAGTAAGCACTGCTTCATACTTCATATGATCATTTCCCATTTGAATCTAATACTTTTGTTGTTGATGAAATCAATGTTGGGAATTTTAAATTTATTTTGGTGAAATTTAGAGTAGGAGTCATTACACTTCATAATAACCACCATGTTTTTCTTACCTTCACAAGTGCTGTTGTCTGATCTGAGTTGGAACCCATCAGTACAGGAGCACCTGTAGCTTCCTTTTGTGTTAATACATCTCTGTGTGCAAAGGTGTTGGTTAGTAGAACACTCATCAATATCTGAAACAACAACCAAAACACCAGTCACTGAATCTTGAAGAAGGTAACATTATAAATTGTTAAATCAAAATTGAAGAATCAAAATGTATCTTTACTCGTGTTTAGAAACATTTTGGAGATTTTTGGATCATTGAGTCACGTTAGTTTCCATGAGAAATGTTCTACCTTGACACAGATTGTTGGAGTCTCTTTGGAAACCGTCTTCACAGACACACAGACGAGTGAAGTTGACATGAACACATTTCTGATGAGTACCACATGAGGTGTTACTACAGTCATCAACATGTTGTGAGCAGTGGAGACCAGTCCAGCCCTGTTTACACACACAACCAGTCACAGGGTCACATCTTAAGGCACCACGTCCACAGCCACAGGAATTTGTGCAGTTATCTCCCCATTTTCCCATATCAGCACAACCTTAAATGATAGGTAAGTATCAAAAGTTTGGTCCAGGCAGGACTAATATTTACTTGGAAATGGACTTGCTCTAAAAACTTAACCCTGGCCACTCATGTGTAATTAAAATATATATGTCAAATGCAATATCCAAAGCAAGTTTGATGGTTTTGAATCCCTAAATGCATCAACCATGCAAGTTTGGTCCAGGCTTACAATGGACCCCTTTCAAATACTTAAACCTGTTCATTCATCCAGAAAATATTGGCCAGACACAACCTCCAAAGCATGACTTGTAATAAGCATACTAAGATGTATCATCAATGCAATTTGGTCCAGGTAGGGCTTACACTGACTTGAGCAAAAGACATGCTCCAAATATTTTACCCAAGACTAAGGGCATTTAGCATAGGCTATCCTTGAATTCATCAAGTTGAGCGAAAAAACTCTTTCTTTTAGCTCTTTATTGTAGGTATTTTCATTTAATATGGCCAATATTTTAACTGGGATGGTCAATTTCACATCTCTTTCATCATTTTAGATTAGATTTTGCACTATACACTAACACTTCCATACTTCATTAAAAGCAACAACTGCAATTAGAGATAAATTTAGCATTTCTTACTGATACAAGTTTTCCTATCAGTGTCCAGTGTGAATCCTTTGGGACACTCACAGATAAATCCACCCCAGGTATTCGAACAACTGTGAGAGCAGCCAGATATACCCATCCAACATTCCTGAAGGTCTGTGAAAAATATATCAATGTCAAATCCACAAAATTATTTTCATCAAGCCTTCTTAGACTACACCCAAAGCTACAAATTTATACATGGGTCTTAGCCATATCTAACACTTCTCCTTGAGCAATCAGAAGGAAGTGTAAAAACAATTTGTTCTGTATAAGATGAACATCAATAATCCTGGTGGTTAATATTTTTAGGGTGATAGGTCATGGTCCTTTTCTCTAAGCTTGATGTCATATCACTGGTTCCTAAGATAGTTAGACAATCAGGGCTTTCAGAAAGATTAGAAACATGTGGTACTTTTACAGAAACAGGAGGTATCTTGTGGAAGCGATTTTAATTAAATATGTTAACAAATTTTTCTCCATCTAATACTGGCAGGTACAATCATGATTTCAGCCAGGTAATGTACTGGGTACTGGCAGATTTCGAAAGGTCTGGACAATATACCAAATATGGAATTTTTAGTGTTTCTTATAGGTGATATTGCTAGCTTACAGTATAAAGGTTAAAGTTGCCAGCTGATTTTATAAAGTCTAGAATACTATATGATATAAACTATACCAAGGACTCCACCTACCATTACAGAGAGTGAAATTATCCTTTTGTATAGGAGAGTAACCAGCCCTACAGAAACATACAGGATTTCCTCCTCCATCCACAGTACACCCCCCATAGGTATGGTCACAGAAGTTCCACTTGTTACTACTTCTGCAGGGGTTAGACACTAAAAGCATGGAAAATACAGTAATAAGCAAATCCTCTCTCTTATTTTGAACTTGTTGAATACATATCAAGTCAAATGTTTAAAGTTACTCTGTCCTTTTACCATGGTGAAATAGAATGTTTTCTTGGTCCATTTTTTCACAATATTCATGAATATAAATACTTCAAGATTTATTTTGTTGATCTTGTTTTCAATTTTCTGCATATTTAACTCTTAAACATAAATTCATACATCTTCTGCAATTAACTTGAATTTTGAGAGTGAACTTCAGTGGTTACAATACTGCTTAGTTACCCTCAGAAAGACACTCTCTTCCACTGATCTGTAAGTTGTATCCAGTTTTACATGTACATCTGTAGCTTCCAATTGTATTTACACAATCATGTTGACAATTGTGTAACATATCAGAGCACTCATCCAAATCTGCAAGGAAAAGAAGAATGGTATCTTTTTCAGGAAACTCCAAGTCAATTCAATTCCTCCCGCTCCCATATGAGTATAATGGTGAAATCCATTTTTTGTTATGGGAAACCCCAAATATCTGTCTGATAAGAACATAAAATAGGATATGCTCTATGTCACTGTGTAATATTCTAAGAAAAATCTCAGTTAATTTTATTCAGTGGTATAGGAGGAGTTGTAAATAAAAGATGGGTACCCCATGTGTTACGGATGAACCTCGGAACAGACTCCCCCCCCCCCCCCCCCCCCCCCCCGTCACTATAAACCCCCACTTTTCAAGCAGGGGGGATAATAACATTCTAGTCTTTATATATCATTGAGAAAAATATTGTATCATTATACAGATTCTTTATGCCTACCTTGACAAGTGCCATTAACCCTTATATACCCTTTGTCACACACACAGGTATAATTGTCTGTAGTGTCTACACAAACTTCATCTACTGTACAGGCATTCAGAGCCCAGGTATTGCAAGCACTGGAATCTGTAATGTAGATCCAAGGGAAAATGTTATTGTTTCATGTTGTTACTTATGAGAAAATTGCGACAGTAATACATGAAGTTGAATCATTGTCAACAGTTACCAGGAACTGCAAAAATAAAACTGATTATATCATCAACTCAAAACAAACTCACATTCACAAAGTCCTGTACTGGTATTCCTCTGGTAGCCATTTTCACAAATACAGGCATATGATCCATAGGTGTCTGTACAGACTTCAGGGGACTGACACAGGCTGACATCCTCACACTCATTGATGTTAATGTCACAGAACCTCCCAGACCAGCCAGGCTTACACACACAGCCAATCACATTGTTACAGTACAAGGCATGATGGGTACAGTCACATGACATCTCACAGTTCTGTCCCCAGTGATCAAGGTCACAAGCTGATGAATTAAAATTTTATGAGCTGTGTATTTTTTAAAGTGTAGATGTAGGTTTTACATGGTAGTATTTGACAGTCCACTCAGAAGTATACATAAATTATTGTAAACCAAATTCACACAGTCATTTAATTGTATAGCAGATAAAGCTTGTATTATTCAAAATTGAATATAACTTGGAAACCAGAAAATTTTAGGAGGACATTACTCCATACAACAGCAAACTAGATTTTCTTTTACCTTGACATTACATAAAACTTTGAACTTGACATCCATAGTCTCCAAAGTTCAAAGGGTATGATCAATTAAGGCCATGAAAAGCAGACCAAAAACAAAAGCCTAATATTTTTTTAAATTTCAGGACACTAACCCTTGCATGATCTGTGGTCTGACTGAATAGTATATCCATCATAACATCCACACTCCACACTCCCATTAGTGTTCTGGCAGCTGTGTGGGCAAGGTGCATCAAGACACTCATCAATTTCTAAGAAAATAAGTAAACAATTAATTACTTATTCTTTATGAAACTTTATACTCCCTGTATAAACCAGATGTCTCTGACAAGACTGTAGCTCTACTAATTATACTTACTATTATAGTTGCACCTGGACGTATTACCTTTTTCAAAAATTTTACTTTAATTTACAGAATAAAGTACATAATTATACTTTCAAGTTGATGGTTTCTGAGATTTTCCCAATTTTTTTTATTGAAGTCAAACCTAAAATTTAACAGAGTAGCATTTTGAAAGAATATTGCAGATTCACTCAGTAGAACACCATGACAACAATGATGGCTGAAATAAAATTTTAAAGACTATTGTTTTAATTCATTTTTTGATGAAACTGTCAATTAAATCAGTTTATTCTAAAGATTAACAGGAAGTGGGATATACCTTCACAAGATGAGTCTGCCTTCATTCTGTAACCAAGGTAACAGAAGCACTCTGGTTCTCCTGTGCTATTAATTCTACATCCCTGGGGACATTGTCTAACAACGCAAGGAGGTTCTACAGAGGCTAGGTATCAAAAAACAAGTTTAAATTTGAAAGCTAAGATAAAATAAACAAATCGACTCAACGAAAGTACATCAATATACTAATCGATTCTTCTCAATTTGCATGAATTAACTCTGGTACCTTTAAAACAAGTCTGTCTGTCTGTGTGTAGCTGATACCCTGTAGAACAGACACAGTAGTAGGACCCCTGGGTGTTTACACACTGATGCTCACAACCACTTGTCCTCTCTCTACATTCATCAACATCTGCAGTGACATTTTGGGGTTAAAATACTAGATATTCATATCCTTGTAAAAATTCTCTGACAAGAACTTAAAACACTATTTAAAATTGCTATAATGTGGTCCTCAGCGACCCCATGCAAACAATTTGCAAGATTTTCATTAGAACTTGAATGTCTGCAGTTCTACATTTGATATAAATATTGCAGATTACTTTATTCTTTAATGAAAACATTACAAACACTCTGAAGTAAAATGCTAAATATGTTGGAAATATTAAAAAAAATGATGACTGAACCTACCTACACACTGGTAACCATGTAATCTGAACCCCGTCTCACACTCACAAACAAAAGACCCATCTGTGTTGACACATCTCTGACTGCATTGACTGGTGTGTAGGGCACACTCATCAATATCTGAAAATGTTCAAATTCCTGGTATATATACTTTAACATCAGCACCAGCACTTCTCTTAGTTTTGACAGAGAAAATCTCAGTTTCAATACAAGCTCTACAGTTCTAGTACATGTACATGGATTAGTAAGATGCAGGAATGTCACATGTTAAACCTGTGTCTTTTAAAAATAAAAAAATAAAGTTTCCTACGTTACCCATTGATTATCCCTGCACATCAGGTCAATGAAATATCCCTATTGGATTTTCATACCCAGACTTGGATACTGTTCTCAAATTGGGCTATTTTTCATATTGACTTCATAATATTTCAGAGCCATTCTCGGTAAGGATTTGCACTTTTATATAAGAGGTGTGGCATGCATATTCACAGATTTCCTCCAAACTTAACATAAAGGCTTTCCTCAAGAAATTTTTTTTTTGGAAATCTGGGATGTCACAGATGAATGGTTAACATATTTGAAAATAGTATAAAGTACTGTGAGTACTATATCCATTACATCAACAACAGGGATGGCAAGGACGTTTTTGTAAGATATGAAATTTTACACTTCTGTGTATTGTCAAAATAATTCAAATTGGAAATATTCATAACCTCATAGAAATGAAATTCCAATACCACATACATGACTGTATAACTAAGGATCGATCAAGTTTGAAGATCAATTTAATATGCTCATCTTACCAATACACTTAAGAGAGCTAGACAAGGTGTAGCCCACAGGACAGGCAGAACACTGATAAGTCAGTCCCCGGGACCTCTGGACAGAGGGGGTCAGATCCTGGCAGTCTGAGCTTGTGTTACACGGATTACCAAGGCAACCATTCTCATCCATATTACATGTTGGACCTGTTAATCCCAGTTAGTCTAATTAAGTACATTATTAATTGACATACATGTATTTCTACTAAGTGGCTTCTAATACCAAAATTGATTGTCATGATTAATTTGGAAATTCTGCACTGGCATTTTATCAACAGTATATGTATGATGAATTTTGTAAACTTTTAAAACTAATCATTGACAAGTACCCAACCTTGAAATGATGTATCCCTTACTCTTTTTGTGACAAATTTAATTCAGTTATACTCTCAAATCTGGCAGAAAATCTCACCTGTCCATCCTGTTTCACATTCACACTCTACAAGAAAGAAGGAGGGTTGTTCCTGTGGGATGACATTGTCAAAATTACAGGTGCCCCGCCCACTACAGCCTGGACACAGAATGATGTCAGGGATCACAGTGGCAGATACAAGGGAATTCTGATCCATGGCATAGATCCTGTCAACAACAAAGCACCCTATAATATGTTCTATAGACAAGATCCTGCTGACAACAGAGTACACTAGATTACTTATAATATGCTCCACAGCTTAAATCTTGTCAACAATAGAGTAAACTAGATTACATAATATACTCCACAGCTTTAATCCTGTCAACAAAATACACTAGATTACCTATGGACCACAGCTTAGATCTTGTCGACAACAGAGTACACTAGATTACGCTCCACAGCTTAGATCTTGTCAACAACAGAGTACACTAGATTACTTATAATCAAACCTTGCCAAGTACTTATGTCAGTCAGAGACTAGTTTTCTATTTTAATCAATAAACATTTCACTGATTTGCATGACTGTCACTGCTGAACTAAGAGAATCTAAAATAGTAATTCTGTTTCATAGAAATGTTAGAAGTACCGTATATACGCGCCTATAAGTCGGTCCGCCTATAAGTCGGTTGTATTTTTTAAGCTTCAATTAGAGGGATTGACCCACTAAAATACCTATCTTTTTATAACTCGCGTATAAGTCGGATAAGGAGTTTTGGACCAAAGTTTAACTCCCAAAAAACCGACTTATGGGCGAGTATATACGGTAACAGTTGACTGAAAAAGTTGAAGGTGCCTAAAAATACACAACACCTTCCATTTTAACTTGATCAATTCCATTTGATCAAAAGCTGTGTATGGTTGTTAAGTACAAAAAAGACAACTGAAATCTATGCATACTTTAAACAATTTATTTTCCAATTCTTACCAAATGCTTGTTAAAGAAACCATTATATATCTGGCATGTCTTAACAACTGTTTGTTAAGAACATGAAAAATAAGCTGAAGGAATTCTTAAATAATTGCTTGTTAAATAAAATTAAGTAAAACTGTTACACTTTTATACAGAGTTTTAACAACTGTTTGTTAAGACTACCCAAAGAATTCCACAAGATATATTCTTAACAACTGGTTGTTAGAAATGCAAAGGAAGATGAACAGAATAAAGTCTTAACAACTGCTTGTTAAGAATACCAAAAAAATTTCACAAGGTATATTCTTAACAACTGGTTGTTAGGAATGGAAAGGAAGTCAAACGGAATAAAGTCTTAACAACTGCTTGTTAAGAATACCAAAAGAATTTCACAAGATATATTCTTAACAACTGGTTGTTAGAAATGGAAAGGAAGTCAAACGGAATAAAGTCTTAACAACTGCTTGTTAAGAATACCAAAAGAATTTCACAAGATATATTCTTAACAACTGGTTGTTAGAAATGCAAAGGAAGACAAACAGAATAAAGTCTTAACAACTGCTTGTTAAGAATACCAAAAGAATTTCACAAGATATATTCTTAACAACTGGTTGTTAGAAATGGAAAGGAAGTCAAACGGAATAAAGTCTTAACAACTGCTTGTTAAGAATACCAGAAGAATTTCACAGGATATATTCTTAACAACTGGTTGTTAGAAATGGAAAGGAAGTCAAACGGAATAAAGTCTTAACAACTGCTTGCTAAGGATGCTAGAAGTAGGTCCATGGAATCCTTTTAAAATTTGCTAGAAAACCGGGATAAAAATTGACAATTGACAATCAATTAAAATTATTAAGCAAATATAGCACATACAAGTTTAATGAAATATTCTTTTCTTAACAACTAGTTGTTAGAGGACCAAGGCTAGACAACTCAGGAAACATTGGGAAAAATGTCTTAACTTTTTAATAAAAAGATTAGGAGTATGTTCAAGATATTTTCTTAACAACTGCTTGTTAAGAAAGCTATGTTTCAATTAATGCAATTCTTTTAAGGATACACCAAAGGTTTCCAAATGCCAGAATTTAATTTACATGTAATTCTTTCATTATCAAAGATAACATAATAAAGGTATATATCATTTGAAAGCTTGTTAAATTTACTATTTAATTATCCTAATTTAAACTTTAATTAATAACTTATTTAAAAATTATTTAAATATTAATGTAAATTTTAGTGCATAAATATTTTATAAATCAACCTTTTTTGTATTTAACCCCTCAAAGTGGTCATTTTGCCTCAAGGTAGATTAAAGATTGAACTTAAAAACTGTATCTCAGATTTTTTATAAATCTTCTAATTCAAAAGTTACAGCCATTTGCTCTTCAATATTATCAATTTATTAGCCTAATTTAACATTTTCCTCAATAATTCCAAAACTAAGCTAGATATCAAAAATCTGAGATACGGTTTTGTGAACACACATTTGAGAAGCAACCCATCCAATTTTCAGAGAAATTGGTCAATAAATAAGGGAGCTGAATCCTTTGAAATAATACCACACACTGTCTGATCTTACTTTATAGTAGAAGGCAAAAACCCATTACACAACAAAATCTGCCAAAGCTAGAAATATATGACACCTTAGAGATTCAGCTTTGGATACCTGTCACTTGGCCATATTTCCTATGCATATTCACAAAAATGGGAGGTTCTTTTCTGTATTTAGATGCTTTTATTTAAGTAAAATAGGTTCAATTCTGAATCAGAAAGATTTCCCGGCAAAATGGCAAGAGCTAAGCTCCACCTTCATATTAATATTAGACATGATAAATTGTTCATCGAGTTTTCCTAAAAAAGTCTTGCAGTAGGTTTACTTGTTCTTCTCTATTACTCCCAAGTATTCAACAACTGCCACAGTGTAATATTCTATTCCTCTTCTGTAATACCCTGTAAAAAATATACATCATTTGAGTGGTAAAATTCATATTCTTTGATATTTTTTCTATCTAATATATTATCAAATAAACCATTAATTGAATTTTTACATTCACCAAACAAATTTATTATATTTGTGCATAATGCTGGACAGATTTAGGCAGAGAAGTGTGATGGGGTAAACATGGAATTTGACCTCAGATACTTAAAAAAAAGGTAAGAACTATGAATAAAGAACTGCATTTTGTATCTTTATTTTTTTTTCTAAAAATGTGGCAAAATGAGCCAGTACTTCCTAATGGAAACATATCCAATAAAAGAGGTTAGGACAAGTCCCAGAGATGAGTAAACCAAGACCCTGCAGGAGATCCCCCCCCCCCCCCCCCCCCCAAATATTTCTCATAGACGTTAAGCAGCCAAAATTGCCATCAGATTTGTTCCCTTTTCCAGACTTTGTGTATTGCAAAAAGTCTTTATCTAAGCAATTAATACCATTGTCATTTGCTGGACAATATTAAAAAAAAAATCACACTGTACAATTTCAAATTAGTTTCCATTACTTTATACTGGATTTATTATGAAAGAGGCTAGACAACAAGATAATTTTATCCAAGACTGAGCAATTAAATTCCTTTGCTTAATTCCCAAGAGATCTAGATAACATCTGCCTGATCAGAGATGCTCTACCAGTTAATTCCTCACAGGAAACTCATTAATTTATCTCTAATTCAACATCTAATTTGTTATTAAAATTCTTCTTGACAACTGCTTGATAATTACACCAATGTGGAATTTCTCTCTTGTTTTTGACACAAGCAAAACGTTATTATATTTATTAAAAATTGTTGTAAAGTTAGCAATGAGAAAAAAACTGTGTATTTTCTTGATGAAACATTTTATTAAATATCTGCAATATTCTTACATCTTTTGGGACTGTATAATTTAAAATGTAAAGACATATATATATATATATATATATATATATATATATATATATATATATATATATATATAAATTTTGCCTTAAATGAAGGTCAAAGTGCCCTTTAAATAGGATGCGACAAACCCTCTATTTAAGATGCATCAAATGGCCGAGTATTACGGTTCTTGGTCTAAAAGTTATCTAGTAATGAGCCGAACAGGATTTTCCCCTTTCTTGACAATAACATCTTAATTAAAGGTCACAATGACCTATTTTTAGAGTGAAACACACCTTTTACACAAGATGTACCAGCGAACAAAGTTTCTTAATTCTATGCTCATAGTATAAAAATTATGAGCCGGACACGAAAAAGTAAACAGACAGACATATGGACAAACATAAACGCCATAACAAAATATGCCCTGCCTTAAGATGAGCGTAAGAAATTATAATTCTCAGGCAGATTATTATTTCAAATATCCTCATTCAATTGACAAAATGAAAGCTTTATTACAGCAGAAGAAAAGAATTATGACATCTTAGTGAACCAGTTGCTGCGTAAAAAATCGTCCATTTGACAATTTTGAAGAAGTCAATAGAAATAGCTGTTTAATATTGTTTCTTTACCACTTTAGGGCGTAAAGTCACTTTGTATTATAGTTCCTGTAACGAATTCCATTTATAGGGTATGAAATACACTGTTGATTAATTACATGCGTTCAAATGCTTTACCTCACAAAGACCAAACATTTTTCATATGAACGTAATTTGTAAATATGTTTTAAAAATCAAAGCATAGATTTATATGGCACCACTTCCTATTATTATATTATGACAATGAGCATTAGACTTGATTTGGCAGATTTTTCTTTGAAAACTTGTATTGCTTAATATGAGGAAATATTTGTCCAGTCCTATCTTTTCTCTGTGTCATGATAACAGATCAAAGAGTCCGTTATATATAAAGATTACCTAATGTCGAGAGAGAGAGAAAGAGAGAGAGAGAGAGAGAGATTACCCTAGGTTTTTAATCTTAGTCGATGCCATCGAGTATAACATAAATTCGATCGTTTTTTTAAAACTCCACAAGACAATCCCATTCTTTCATTCACTGCTTCATATTCTTTTAGGGTATCAGAATCTGTAACCAAGATTATACATTTATTACGAGATATTTCAATGAATCATTACATTTCATTGTTATTTAGTAAATGGATTAGTTCCGGTTGACAGTGAAGAATATCGGTACTTCGATTTCATTTTGAGTGAGAAGTCCAACGAACATTATTTTTTAGGTGGCCTTATTAAATATGCGAGGAAAGAGTAAGCGCGGCTGAGGGAGACAGATGATGTTTACTTGAAAGCATACTGAATAATTTATCTATTTATG